AAAAATTAATAAAATAATAATAAATAGCATTTGTATAGCGGATAACCGCGCTGTACAGCAAGCTCTAGGCGCTTTACACTATTTTATTATAATTTTTATTACCAAAGCAGACCATAGAACACCCAGGAATATTCTCAGCTTCCCGGGAAGAATATAGTGCAAGCAGCTGATTAAGCGCTCAGACATGAACAAACTGACAAGATCTTCCACTGTCTATTGTTGGGTACCCATTCCCGTTACCCTCCCGGATTTTCCTCACTTCACAAAGGTTAAAATGGGTACCCGTCTATAGACAGTGAAAAATCTCATCAGTTTGTTAGTGTTTGAGCACTTAATCAGCTGCTTCCACTGTATAGTACTTCCCGGGAAGCAATACAAATGCTATTTATTGGTATTATTATTATTAATAATAATAATAATAATAATAATAATAATAATACCCAATTACACTGCCAATTAGATTTCTTTGGTTCCACCAAGTCCATCCAGATTGGGTAAAAGGTACCATTTTGGCACAATACGACCGATTCGACTCACAACTTTGAAAAAACAAAAAATATGTTTTATTTGTTAAGGTCATGGTTAAATTTTGTTGAGTTTCATCATGGCTCTTGCCCTGCAATAAAGGGGAAAAAAACAAACAACCCTGCCTGGCCCCGACTAAATTAAATGCATTAAATTCAAATTGGCATGCAATGAGCACCAGATAAGTGATCTGAATGGTGTCGATTGGGGACTTTAAACATTTACTGCCGATCAGGGGGTTGTTGGCGGGTGCTCTGGTGTGGTTTGCTCCTTCTTTCTCATCAAAAATCTATCGTCCTTATCCGTCCTCCGTCTTTTTTGTCTGTTACTCTCTTGCCCCCCCCCCCCCCACCACCACAATATGCCGAAGGCCTAGGAAGTTGTCTCACCAACAAGGCAATCCGCACTGTCCGGATCGGATGAGGGAACAACTTTACTTTACTTTTACTCTCTTGTGACCGAAAAAGACCTTAACAGATGGAGTCAGGGAAACATTAACAACTCATGGCATCCCCTGACCCAAGCTCTCCGGCTGGTGGCAGAGAGGCGCCTCTTTCTTCCAGCGACAACCAAAGGGTATAGATCTAAGCGGCGGATAAAAGTAAAGTACTCTTTCGTAACACCTCTTTTTAGTTTAGTTTTAGTAAGTGTTTTACGGCACTTGCAACACAATAAGGTCATATAGGTGCCGAAGATTAGAGGTGTTACAAGAGAGTAACAAACATAAAAAAGTAGGAGGAGAGATAAGGACTATAGATGTTTGATAGGAAAGAAGAAGCAAACCACACCAGAGCACCCGTCAACCACCCCACGTAACACCTCTAATCTTTGTCATTTATAAGACCGTATTGTGTTGTAAGTGACGTAAAACTCTTACTAAAACTCTTTTAAAAAACATTCTAAAAGAGTAGATCAACCATCATTAGACCTATCGTCTTCTTACCTCGACAGAAAATCGTTGCGACGACGCTCAGAAACACCAGTGCCCACATCGTGATGTTGTCGTTCTCGCTCCGCTCTGCACTATACGGTAGCAAGATCAGCATTCGGTGGGTCCTGACTGTTCAACGAACTCAGCGGAATAAACCAAATCCCCCCCCCCCCC